CACGGAGCCAAACCGGCCGGGGCCAAGGGAATTATTTTTAAGGCTGAGATGACACCACACAGCTATATTCAAACCAGCTCTCTTCTCTGGGATGGGGAGGCGCGAAAACAGATTTCAAAGGCAGAGCTTTGAATAAACTAAACCCAATAAAAATAACGCTTTGAACCCAAATGCCGAATCGCAGCCCCAGGCACATTCAACCAGCTGCTGCCAGCTCTCCCTGGCAACAGGCACAGGCCACCTAGGGGCGTGCTAGGAGCCTGGGTGCAGCTGGGGCCTAGGTGGCCGGGCCCCCACACCTGCCCTCCAGGCCTTGCTGGGACTCCGGCCAGCTCCATCCCGGCGGCTCTGTCAGGCTGGAGGGGTTCTTTGCCCCGTTCTCACCTGCTTCCCCATCTGGCCCTGGGAGTTGCGAATACCTGCTCCTGAGAGGTAGTACAGCTTCTTCGCAGGTTCTGATCTTGGTTCCGCTGTGTGACCCCAGGATGGTGGCCGCACCTCTCTGAGCCTCATGTAGAATTGGGGGTCATCACAGTGCCTCCTTCACGGGATAGAACTTTGGCTCTCTCCATAGCCAGTGGGTATATGGCAAGCACCCCGCACTATGCCAGGCCAGGGGGTGAATGGGTGGCCGTCTGTTGTGCATAAATGACCTGGAAAGAGCCTTCTATGATTTCCCAGTTAGACTGTGAAGGGAGCACATTACGTGCAGAGAATGTATACAATACAGGATGTATGCAAAATCTGCACTGCAATATAAAAATGCATACGTGTACGTACTTCCTTGTATGTGCACAAAATATCTCTGGAAGGTGCCCAGAAACTAAGGTACCTACTGGGAGGTCCCAGGGCTGGGTGGAGGTGGCTGGGGGGGCTTTCTCTGCCCACTGCCTCATGCACGCATCGTCCAGTCCATGCTCACGTGCGAGGGGATTTTCAAAGTCCCGGTGAGCTTTGCTGGTCCTGAGCTCCTGCCTGACACTGACCCAGCTCCCGGGGACCTGCCCGGAGGGACTGGGGGCGGGGTGATGGTGACAGGGCCTTGGGGTCAGGACAAAGCACACGCCTAGGCAAGTTTGCTGCTGCCTCTGAGAAGCCCTCCTGGACCCTCCTGCCAGCCTCCATTTGCCACAGTTCAAAGTCCAGGACCAACGACCCAGTTTGCAAGGACTCAGGGCAAAATGAAAACATAGGGCCCATGATCAAAATCAATGATGAAATTCAAACAGACAACACAGAGCACCAAACCCAGCGCAGGGCCTGGCCGGCGAGGACCCTGGACTCAGGTCTCGCACACCTGTGAAACCAGCCCCGTCTGTACCCTCCTCGCCAACCTGTGGGCTCCGAGTCAGGAATGTGTCTGTCTTGTACACAGAGCCGGGTACGCAGTAGATGCTCCACACGTTTTGTGAATGAAGGAAGGAGAAGGAACAGAACTGAGGTGCGGGCAGAGTTGGCCATCAACAGCCAGCCTATGGAGCCCGGCGCAGCCCTGCCCTCTGGGCTAGTTTCCAGCAGGAGCAAACCCCAGCCTCAGAGGAGGCAGCTGCCCTGTGCTTCCCCAACATAGTACTTCTTACTGCTTTCTTATCCGGAGCTCTGCTGTGTGACCTCGGAAAGGTAGCTTAACCTCTCTGTGCCTTGGCATCTTCATCTGGAATATGGGGCTAGGGGCAGTGCCTCCTTCAGAGAGTTATGTCCTCCTTCATGGATAAGTAAGCATGGCAGTCTTTTTTTTTTTTTTTATCCTCACCCGAGGACATTTTTCCATTTTTTGTTCAGATAGAGTGGGAGGGAGAGAGAGAGAGAGAGAGAGAAACATCGACATGAAAGGGACACATCGAGTGGCTGCCACCCGCATGACCCAACCAGGGCCGGAGACAAACTGCAACCGAGGTACGTGCCCTTAGCGGGAACTGAACCCGGGTCTCTCTGGACTGCAGGCCGACGCTCTAACCGCTGAGCAAACCGGCCAGGGCAAGCATGGCGTCTTAAGCATGGTACTCGCATGGGTCATTATGCCGGTGATTCCCGGCTGGGCTTCCAGCTCTGAGAGGGCGGGGCCCGGCCTTTCTCTCTCAGGTGGACTCCTGGGTGCCCTGGTTAACATTACGGAATGGCTGTGACTATCAGAAGTCACTCGTGAGCCGGCCTGGGGAGGTGACTTTTCCTGAAGAACAGTCTGGGTCCTCAGGTGCCGGACCAGCAGGGCTCTGCAGCCAGGGTAGCTGGAAGTCAGCCCAGAGCCCGGCAGGGGCTCCCTGGGAGCTCGGGGATGTCACCACAGTCCCCAGGCTGCCAGGTACAGATGACAGACTGGGGAGACCCTGGAGGGTGAGTCATTAAGTGTCCCCAAGGCCTTATGACGGGAGGTGGCAGATGAGCTGTTCTGGCTGCTGCTCTTGGGGTCCAAGTGCCACTGTTCAGGAAGGTTCCCGAGCCCAACCTGGTGGGTCCAATCCCTGCTTCAGGCTCAGACTCTGGCCAAAGCTGGTTATGACGGGTCCAAATGGCACCAGTGTCACCCCCTTTCCTGAGCCTGCTTAGGAAAAGGTTGAGGCTTGTAGGGCTGCCTGGAGGTGGCAGCATACATTGTTTCTATAGAGGGCTTTGATGGCCTTTGACAGGAGCCCCTGGAGGGTACAGACCATCTGTCATTTAGGGCATATTGGAATGACTACAGGACCCAAAGAGGCAGAAATGTCAGGGACAGGAAGGACGTGGGGTAGGAGTTCAATGGCAGACAAAGGCAGAGGGACTGGAAGTGGGCAGCCCACGTGGCTGGGGCACAGGGCGTGCATGCGTGTGTGTGTGTGTGTGTGTGTGTGTGTCTTGCTAGAGGGCCACCGACCATTCTCCTTGCCTTGTCGGTAGCCTTCCTGGGCCCCTTGCTCACTGGGGCCCATGCTAAGAATGGTCGCCCCAGCCTCGCTGCAGGATTGCAGCAGTCACCTCCCTTCCTACACTTCCTGTTCCTCTGCCCACGCCTCCACCCCACTGTTATGGAAAGGCCAGGTGTCCACCCTGTGCCCTGTGTAGTGGGTTGGACTCCCCTCTGGACCCCCAAAGCCCCAGGCCTCCCACCGTAGCATTAGTCCCTATGTCCTGGAATTGCCCATTTGAGTCCTTGTCCCCCACCAGACTCTAGCTTGAGGATGGGCTGGTCACTCTGGTGCCCACCTCGTGCCCAGGGCCCAGTGTGTGTGGCACACAGTAGGTGCGCAATGAACTGCCTGCAGAATGAAAGTGGATGAGCCCAGGGGGCAGCTCATGTCCCCGGAGCCCTGGCTGGCTTCTCCTGGGTTCCACATCTTCAGTGGCCCCTCTCTGACCAGCCTCGCCTGGAGTCAGCCCTGCCCTTGCCTCTCCCCGGCCCCCCACCCAGGAGCCCCGCGGCCTCCTGCCCATGACCCTTAGCTCTTGCTGCTCTGCCTCCAATCTCTACGCCCTGCCACAGTCCACCTTCTCCAACTATCCTCTCTGCCTCGCTGCCCTAGCCCTGGTCCTCCTGCCCCAAGGTGCCCATGTGCCCCGATGGCCCTCAGGGTGAGTCATTCCTCCTCCCCCTCTCTACCCCCCAAACTAGACCAGGCTCCACTGCCCCCACCCATGGTCTTGTCCCAGGTCTTCCTGTGGACCAGGGTGGGTGGGGGTAGAACGGGGTGGGGACTGCGACTGTTCAGAATGAGAAGGACAGAAAAGATCTGTGTGGGGGCACACCTGCCTGGACCCGCAGAGGTTCTAGGGTGCAGGGAGCCTGAGCAGGGACACCAGCTCCAGCCACGGCCACTTTCCTGGCCTTCCAGCCGCTGCTCCCTGGGGCCCTGGAGGGGCTGGCCAGCCGCCAGCCTGAGTGGAAATGTACCGGAAAAAAGGACCCTTTGGGGAGCCCTGGGAAGGGGTGAGAGACTGAGAACCTGGAAACAGCCGGGAAGGGGTCCATCCCCACACTGAAACACCCCCTGCCTCCCTCCTCGCCTTCTTTCTGGTCCCCCGTTCAAGTCCTAGCTCTGCCTGCAGTGTGGGAGGGGCCGTTGGTGAGGGGGGGGGTGGGGCATCCGCGGCCTCCCTGGGTGCGCAGGGGCTGAGGTCGCTGGGAGACCCTGCGGGGACGCATGGGTGCCATCTGTGGGGGTTCTGGTGTGCGGCGAGGACCCGTGCATGGGTGTGATGTCTTTGAAGCGTGTGCATGTGTGTCTGGCGTGTGTGCGCGGTGTCTGTGCGAGCCTGCGCCTCGGAGAGTGTGGAGGATTTGCGGTGGGAGGCGTCCCCGGTGTCTGCTGCGAGCGCTGAGAGGCTCGGAGCTGATGCTCAAGGTCCTCTTGACACAGAATCCATGTTTGTGAAGAGGAGAGAGGAGAGGAGGGAGGGGGGACGGTCTCGGAGGGGAGAGGAGTGAACGGCTGGGGAAGGGGCGCGGGGGAGGGAGGCTGGGGAGGCGCAGAGAAGCAGAGAAGCGGGGAGGGGAAGGTCCTCACTGGGGGGCATCCCCGCCAGCCAGCCTCTAGGGGACCCTGGGCGCAGAGTCCCCTCCACCCCACTCCTCCGCGGGGTCCAGGCGGAGACCCCTCCCTCTGCCTCGGCCACACGTGGGGCAAGAGCGTGGCTTGGGGGGCCCAGGCCGCCTCCGCCCCGGTGCGAGGCACGCGGATCAATGTCCAGGGCTCGCTGCTGACAGCGCTGTCGCAAGCTCAGCCGTTCTTGGTTTATCAACATAAGGCAAAACAGAGGCGCTGGGGGCCGGCCACGGGGCGCAGCGGCGCTGGGTGGGGCGAGCGGAGGCGGGAGACACGAGTGCGGCGCGAGGGGAAAAGTTTCCGACCCTCCGGCCAGAGGACAAGCTGAGAAGTTTCGGCTGCGCCGGGCGGCACCAAAGCCAGGCCAACACTGCCCCCGCGTGGGCGCGGCGCGGCGCTGCAGCCAGCGGCCGGGCGAGGGAAACTGAGGCTGGAGCCGGCGAGATGGGCGACGCAAGGTCACCGGGAAGAGGTGCGGTAGCATCAGGCCTCCTCTGAGACCCGCAGGCTCCCCATAAAATAGAAATACTGTGGGGGTGGGGGTGAAAGTCCGGAAAATGATGGGGCAGGAGGGAGGTCATCCTAGGGATTGAAATCCCTCTCCAGCCCCGCCTCCTTCCACCCCAAGGGGGGTGATAGCACTGACCCCAGCCCATCCCCCCCAAGGTTTGTCCAAACTGTGCCTAGACCTGTTGCCTTTCTTCTGGAGCCAGGGCACCCCTTCAAAACAGAGCTCCCCATCCACAAGATGTCCTGGCCCCAAGCTCCCCGCCACCGCCCATCCCCCATCCCACCCTTTTCCTGTTCAGCAGGGTGCCCAGGCGTGGATTCCTGGCAGTTTACTTACTGGCCAGGAGGTGGCAATAAAGGCCTGGATCCTGGGCCTGGCCAGGGGTTGGGGCCAAATCCAGGCTTCCAGTGGAGGGGCTCAGACTGTCCAGGGTTTAGAACAGCTGTGGCAGCGCTGCACCCGGCAGACGGGCAGACGGGGTGGCACTGCTAGGCCAGGGCAGCGGTCAGATAGACTCCAGGCAGAACTTGCCACTTAATCTTTACCACCTTTTCACGTGGCTTTGAACACTGCCCACCCCCTCCCCCAGGACTAGGAGAGAAACATCTGGCCGGGCCCACCCAGATGCTGTGACCAGGGACCAGATGGTGTGAGCCTAGCCTGGGGGACTCGGAAGACAAATGTCTGTGCACACACAGGGCTCTCTTCCCCCAGCCTGAGTCTGGACGCCCTGGCCCCACAGTGGGAGGCCAGTGAGCAGTCTCTGTTCCATCAGAGACAGAGGCTGGGGTCAGAGGTCAGGGCAGGTATTTGTTTCAGGTGTGGGCTGATCCAGATAGAGGCTTGGTCCCAGGTTGGAGGTATGTGTGGCAGGGTCTCCCACCTCACAGAAGGGGTTCACTTGGAATAAACCTTTACCCTTGGGGATGCCTTGTCCGCCCCCTCCCCCCCATCAGCCCCATCACAGCTGCGATTCTACCCCCTTCCTCCCCCTGGTCCAGGAACCCTGGGCACCAGCAACTAGGCACGGAGAGGCTCGTAGGGTGAGACCTGGCAGCAGATCCCAGCCACCTGGGATGTACATTTATTTGTGGGGCAGGAAAGGCCTCTCCTCACCCCTGGCCCGTGTTCATGCCTGGGCTTGGGCTCCAGAGGCCATTCATCGCTGAGCCTGCTGCTGTATTAAGGAAGGCCAGAGGAGCTGGGACTCCCTAGGACGGCCTCGATTCAGGACCATGTGCAGCTCCAAGAGGGGCAGGACAGACTCCTGGAGAAGGAAAACACGCTGGGTGCTGCCCTGTAGGTGGGGGCTGGGGGGCTCTGGGTAGGAGGCAGGGCGCTCGGCCCGGGGATTCTACACCTCAGCACCAGGGGGCAGACACTCAACCCCATTTTACAGATGAGGAAACTGAAATGCGAAAGGGCAGTCTGCACGTGTGGAGCTGGGCTCTGCTCAGGCAGCCCAGCTCGAGAGCCCACCCCCTAGCCAAGTGTGTAGGGAAGCTTTACCTGGCCCCCGGGCCACCCCACCAGGCAGGGGTGCTAGATCGAGGTGGCTGGCTGCCTGCAGGTACTCACCAGTTTCTGGCTCAAGGCGCTGGGCGATTTGCCCACCTGGTCAAGAATGCTGTGGGAACCCAGGACGGTTTTGTGGTCTCTCTGCTGCCGCTGGGTGGTGGCCCTGGGGGTGAAGGGCTGCCTGCTGTTCATGCAGATGTTCTCAGAGAGGGGTCTCTGCAGCTCCGGGATCAGCCTGGGGGGCACAGTAGCCTGTGAGCTGAATGGACCCCGAGTCCCAGGTCCACCCGTGGCTAGCAGGGCTCTCAAGGGCCCATACCCTTGGCCTGCCCACTGCTGGCGGGGAGGTCTACAGGGAGTGCTAGCAATGCATGTGAGCCCCAGCCCCTCTCTGAAGCCTCACAGGCTGGGGCGGTCCCAGCTGGACGGGGAGCTGGCCGTGGCCTCCTCCTTGGTCCTGGAGTTCAGGGCGCTGGGCAAATTCTCCAGCCATCTCCTGATGCTGCCAAACACACGCTCCGGCGCCGCCGGCTGGGTGGCTTGGCTGCTCTCGGTGATGCCCTGCTGGACTGGAGTGGAGAGGGCACTGTGAGGGCTCTGCCCCAGGGGCACCCCCTCCAGCTCTCTCCACCTCCTTCTAGCAGGCAAGGTGGGCAGAGCCAGTTGCCATGGAAACCCAAGGCTCCCTCTCTGGCTGCTTCCAGAGAAGGTTTGAGTTTTAAAACTATCTTGTGTGACTGTTTCTGCCTTTATTACCCAATCTGAGCCCCCTACACTCACTCCTGCTCCAGTTCGAAAAGGCCAGTCACCCCACCATGAAAATCCAAGGGAGGGTGCTGACCCTCCTGCGGGGATGGAGGGGGTCTGGGGGTCCTTTAAGTCCAATAGCTGCCCTTCGGGCTGGGAAACACTGCAGAGCCCCACTCCGGCGCCCTGGGTGTGACCACAGCTCCTGTGGCTAGTGGCTGACCAGGAAGCTCTCCGGTGCCACCAACTGCCATTTACACGAAATTGACTCTCCAGGCATCCTCTCCCTGGGTTCCCAGGGTAGCTGGCGCCCCTCTGGCTTTTCTTCACAGCTGATGTGTCATCTGTTCTCCGGGCCTTGGCTTCCCATCAAACAGCCAGAAGTTGGGCAGAATCACAGTTTCTATCTTCAACTTCCTGTGACCCTCAGGGAGCCGGTAGGATCCCGCCTGGACTGGAGATGGTCTTGATTTTTAGGACTTTCCCTACAGCTAGGCTTTGGGGCAGCTGTTTGCTGAACCGGCACACAGGGGGTGCTCCAAAAACCAGATGCAGGCGGTTGGCTGTTGGAAGCTGTGGGGGCTGCGGGATCCTGGGAAGGGTCTGAGCAGATGGAGAAGGGGGGCTTTGGAGAAGGTTACACCCGAGCAAGGACGAATGTTCTTCCTGCTGCCTCTTGACACCAGAAAACACCAGACACTATGCTGCACGGACAGACACTACCGTGTTCCTCCCTGAGGAGCTAGAGCAAACTTCTGCTGGGGAGCCAGGACTGCTGGTTCCCAGCGTCTTTGCCAGACCAGGTGGTCTGGCCCTCCCCAGAGAGAGGAGGAATCTTCTGGCCCTTTCTGGGCACCACCTCACCCAGGTCTGCTTTCACGAGTGAGGGAAAGGGATGCTCTGGTGCCTTCCCACTGTCCCCAGCCCGTCAGCCATGTGAGGGCCAGACCTGGGGTCCGGAGGCTGTGGGGGCCGGTTCCAAGGTGGGCAGATACGGCGTATGGGAACCCTTGGCGGCAAGAAGCGGTTCAGTGGTGGCGAGGCCTGGGCGGCCATTGTTCCCTGGTCCACCACTACGGCTGCTGCTTGGTGCCACCTGCTTTGGGACACTTCCATTGGACCTCGGACCCTCGACTTGGTCCTTGAAGGTCACCCTGACATCCGCTGGATGTCAGAGACCAATTCAGACACCTCCTCTGTAGGGTCAGTGACCTCTTGACTTTTGCAGGCTGGCACCTTACTCCCAGGGCCGCAGCCTCTGCTCCCCCAGGTCTAAGCTGGGACTTTCTAGGGTTCCGGGGCTCCCCCACCTGTCTGCTTACGTGCACAGCTGCGCTCCCAGTAGCGGAGCACCGTGTCCTGCAGGGTCTCGTCAGCGAACCGCACCCTGAACGGGCAATACCGCCTGCAGTGCCCTGAGCCTTCCCCCGAGGAGCTGTGGGTGAGCGAGGCCTTGAGCTTGGGGGCCTGCAGACCATGGGGGCTGCGGAAAGAGGCAAGGAGGAGGGGAGGGCTGGGGCCCCAACAACATCCGCCAGATGGGAGCTTGCTGTGCGGTGCTGACAGTCACAGCAGCTGGCCTTTCTGAGCATGTCCTGCCTGCCAGGCACTGGACCAAGCATGTCCCGTGCAGCACCCCGCCAAGCCCACACAGCTCCTTGACAGACGCTAACTATTCCCATTTTACAGACGAGGAAACCGAGGCACAGAGGTGTTTTGCAACTTGCCCAAGGTCACACCACCAGTAAGGGATGGAAGCAAGAGTTGAATCCTGGTTCCAGAGCCGGCGCTCATATATCAGGCAGTTCAGCAGAGAGAACAAGGCTATGAACTCCGGAGTCAGGCGGTCCTGGGTTTGAGCTATGGTTTTTCATCTGTAAAGTGGATCATGGTCATGCCCATCATACGAGGCTGTGAAGAGGTGAAGTGGGCTGCAAAGCAGGGGGTCTGCAGGGCCCGAAGTAAACATCTCTAAGTGGGAACTGTCCTTATTATTACTGTCAGTCTTGGTTATACCCCTTCCCAGCTGGGTGAACTCAGGGTTGTTACTAAGTTTGCCCTCAAGGCCAAGGCTGCAGAGGGCCCACATGGTCCAGCCATGGCTCTGTTATTCAGAAACGCCATGTTCCACTGGAGGGCCATACATATCGATGTATCTGCATCCATTTATCTGGCCACATCTTCATGTCTGTGTGAACCCAGGGGCGATGCTTTCCATCAGCCCACTAGAGAGCCAGGCAGGCAGGAGGTGTCCCGGACGGCGCCTGGCTACAGGCACTGGACCTACCTGAATCCAACAGTTGTCGACATATCAACACCCACTCGGTGCTGCCTCAGGGCCAGGCCAAGGCACAGTGGGCTCTGCCCATGGTCTGAAATCTCAACTTCTCCTCTCAAAGGCTGCTGGAGCCTGTGCTAATGCACCCTGGCCTCCTCCTCACCCCAGGGCCCCTCGGGGTGTCCCGCACACTGGAAGGTGCTCGCGTAGTAGCTCCCGAATATGGAGCACTGTGAATGTGTCCACCTGCTGTTCTCACATTCGAGATGATGAGTGAGTGCCACGCTTATATTCACTGGGAACAGTGCTATGTTGACTTGGCCTGAGTGATTTAAAGTTCCTGGGTTGGCAAATCGGGTTCATTTCCACACCTACTCTGATCTGTCAGTGGTGTCTGCCTGGAGTACGGTGTCAGGAAGGGTTCTGAGGCTCCGTGGGAAATGCTGTGACCGATTAGGACTGTCTGTCAGGGTCAGGGATTGGAAGGAACGGCATGCATGTCATGTATTTGCTCTCCCAGGTCTTTAAACTCATGGGCTGTCTTCACCCTTTACCCCTGTTTACGACAGAGGAATTTTTGTCTGCATTCTTACCCTCTTCGTTAGAGCTATGGTCTCTAAGCCCAGGGGGGTTTTAACACCCAGGCTCTTCTCCCACCTCCATCCCTTATTTTACTTCTCCCGACATTTGACATACGGTAAAACCTAATACACGTTAGAAGAAAAAAAGGATGAATGAATAATGGAATGAGTAAAAGGGTGGAAGACCGGTGGGTGGGTAAGTGGATGAATGGACTGATGGATGAATTAATGAAAAGGTCTGAATGGAAGAACTAGATCTTAGGAGGATGGGTAGATGTATGAATAAGTGGATGACAATTATGTAGACTGGTAGGTGGCTTCATGACTAGATTAGAGATGGAAAGTATCCTGGATGTATAAATGGATAGAAGGATTTGCAGATGGTTAATCTACAAACTGGATTCATGGATAGAATTGTGGAAGTTTGTGAACAGATGACTGACTGACTAGATGGGTGGATGGATGGATGGATGGATGGACTCATGAATAGGTTGTAGAAGACCTGATTCACAGATAAGATGTACACAAGGATGGATGGGTGAATGAGAGAATGAATATACGAATGGATTCATGGAAGCATTATGAATGTGTTGGTAGAAGACCTGGTTAATGGGTGGATGGATTCATAGATGTTGATGAATGATTCTTGAATGTGTTGAGGAAAAACCTGACTCGTGGATAGATCTATGTAATGATGAATGAGTGGATGGGCCTGTAGGTGGATGGATAGATGGGTGGGGGGGTGGACTCAGATGGGTTATGACTGCTTTGGCAGAAGACCTGATTCGTGAGTGGACACACACATGGACGAAAAGATGGATAGATAGGTAAATTCCTGGGTGTAAAACGGGAAAGAAAGGAAGAAAAGATGCCCTTTCTCTCCCCACCCGTCCCCTCATACTCCCATAACTCACTTGTTGGCCTTTTTGACCTTGGTGAATTGTGTGTGGTCTTTCCTTAGTGGCCCCAGGGTAGGTACCTGATGGAGCAAAACCTTCTTGAAACTGTTCTGGGAGTTCGATGACTGGCACCTTGAAGAGAAATAGGCCACATCTGGCATGAGTGGTCACCCCCCCCCCGCCCAGCATTGATGGCAACCCTGTCCCACCAGCTGGTCCCTGACACTTACCGCAGGTCGGGGAGGAAGGAGCAGCTAGAACACTGAGCAGAATGTCCCCACCAGGGCTCTGACACACCCCTTTGATGTGATTCTGAGGATGCTGGGAGCCAGGAGGAGGTGGAAACAGTTATGAGCCTTTGCTTGGGGACAGTCCTTATGAGGGTCTCCCTAGTTCTATGGCCTTGGGCCTCAGTTTCCTCATTCCTACCATAGGGGCAACGGTAGACCCGCCCTCATGGGGTGGTTGCCAGAACTCAGCCAGGAGTTCAACTAACATTAACATCATTCTTAGAAAGGTGGTGGGAACTCCCCACCGGAAATGACTCGGCCCCCTTGCCCAGCCCCCTGGGAACCCGGCAGGGCCTCACTCGGTGGCTGTGGCTGCTCAACCCACTGCACCCCGAGCTTGTGCAGGAACTCCCGGAACCTGGTAGGGAGGAACTCTGCCAGGCCGGGGCCCAAGGAGTCCTCGCCCTCCATGGAGCCCCTGGAGAAGTCCTCCCACACTCCAGGCCTGGGGCGCGCGCGTGCAGGTGTCTGGGGCGCTCCGGCCAGGAGCACGGGCGGCGACAGCAGCGACCTCAGCCCTGTCCTGTTCCGCGCCGCCCGCGGGGCCACGGTGGGCAGAAAAGGCACGCACGGCGAGGGGCAACGGACATCCACCCCTGGCTTTGTGGGCAAGGACTCGCCGCTGGATTCCTGCCACCACTCGGCGCTGCCCCCCGAGGCCCTCGAGCCCCCCGATCTCCACTCCGATCGGAGATCGCACGGAGGCCAACTGGGCAGCAGCGGGTCTTTCCTCCAGCGAGTGTCCCTGCCGGGGAACCCCTTGGGCGCCACCTGCTGGGCCCGGGACTTGGGGCGACGCCGGGGCATTGTCTGGCCCTGCCGTCAGCTCAGGGCATCCTCACGCCAGTGGGGGCGGGGATTGCCTTGTGAAGTGGAGAGGAGGGCATAGACCGGCCCCCAGGCCACAGTGCCCAGAGCGATGCGGAGCGGCGTGAGGGTAGCATCGCGGGCTCGCCGCACCCTGGGAGGCTTCAGGCTAGAGCTTGCCCAGCTTCTTTCCTCGCCTGGAAAAGGGCGACCGTAGGAGAACCCACCTTTTTGGAGTCGCTGTGACGTTCAGATGAGGGAGCACACGTGGGTGGCTTAGAATAGTGCCAGACACGTCCTATGCGCTCAACAAACGCTAGCTGCTACTATTATGATTTTTAAATGATTATTATTTAGAATTTAGCCTCAGCCCCACTACTTATGAACAAGCCAACTGATGGACTCCTCAGTGGCCTCATCTGTGGAATGGGGTAAGGGCACCTGTTCCTTGGTGAAGGGGAAGTAGCCTCACATGGTAGGGAGCGCTTAGCTCCTGGGAGTCGCAAGTCCTGGGGGTGTTGAAAGGAGAACTGCTTAGCCCCTGTCTCCTGCTGGGGCCTCTCAGCCCCCCTCCTTCCTGGAATGGGGATCTTGTTGAAAATACAATTGTCCCAGATTCTGATTTAGAGGGTTGGGGGCCAAGACACATTTTAAACACATTCTCCCTTTGGGGGAGAGAACCCTAGCCCTGCGCCCTGGGGGTCTTTGAGCCTGCTTCCTCCTTACCGCACCCCCTTCCCAGAAGCTGTCAGCTCTGAGCTGGCTCCTAGCAGCACACTCACCTTAGTGGGGCTTCTTTCTGGGCCCAGAGAAGGTCCCAGGGAGCTTAGAGCCCCCTGAGGGGTGGCTGGTGCTTAGGAGAGCCCATCTTCCCTGCCTGGTCCCTTTGCTGGGCCCCTCCCTGCTGCCTCCAGGGCCTCATTAGGGTCATTGTGATCCACCCCTCACCCAAGGCCATGTGAGGAGCAGTGGGCTCTGAGGCCTGGGGACAGAGGGTGGGGCCGTTGTGCTCAGGATGCCAAGGCTTCAGTCACGAGGGGGGAGTGGGTGGAACTCTTGACCAGGGCAGCCAGGGACGGAGGGCCCAGGTGTCAGCTACCCCTTACAGATCAGGGAGGCCCAAGTGGGTCATGTCGGGGCTGGTGGCTCTGGCAGGAGAATTTCCCGTGGAAGCTTGGGCAGTGCCAATGCAGTGGGTCTGGAATCTAAGAGAATCAACTTGGAGTCCATGCTCTGCCTCTGTGTGCTGTGTGGTACTGGACAGATCTTTCCTTGGTCAGGGCTCCATGGTAAAATGGACTGTCGGGTAAAAACTTGAGTTGTGAGCCCTGGCTGAATTGGCTCAGAAGCAGAGCATCGATCCGCGGACCAGTGAGTCACAGGTTCGATTCCGGCCAAGGGTATGCACCTCGGTTGTGGTTTGTCCCTGGCCTTGGTCGGGGTCATGCAGGAGGCAACCGGTCAATGTGTCCCTCTCACGTCGATGTTTCTCTCTCCTTCCCACTCTGTCTGAAGATAAATAGAAAACTATCCTCGGGTGAGGATTAAAAAAAAACACAAAACTTGAATTGTGAAATTTGTGTGGGGGATACAATAATTTGGAACAGTAATTTCACTGGCATGGTGTAATTTAACAATTTGAAAATGAAAAAAAAAAGACTTTGTAATTCAAATTATAAGGCATCTGTCTGGAGGAATATATTGTCAACATAACAGCTGCAAGCGCAGGACTGAAAGCCGATGTGCAGTAGCTCACAAACAACCCTCGGAGAGTTGGAGGTGAGCAATGATTGCATCTGTCCGGCAGGAGAGGAGGCTGAGGCTTGGAGAGCTTCACCAGGACGGACTCATTTCCATCAAGGCTGCTCCGGGGTTGCTCCAGAATGTCTTTTATATGGGAGGATCCTAGGGGAGGGCAATCTTTTTGGAATGGAAACTTCATTTTCTGCTTATTTGGGGTGGCAACCTCTTGGCACTGCCATGGATGTATCTTTCTTTCTTTTTTCCTCTTTCGATCTGTCTATTATTTAAGACGCTAATTGTTATGGGTGGGATTTGAGGAATAAGGCTTCCACCCCCTTTAACCCAGTGTAAAACCCACAGAACATTCGTTTTTAAAAGTCCAGCCTTGCACCCTCCAAATGAAGAGAGTCGGCGCTGTGGCTCTAAGTCTGGACCGTCCTTCCAGAGACGCAAAAGTCAAGTTAGGTCGCAGCCCAGGGGGCGGGGCACGCCGACCGCGGGGCGGAGCCCGCCCGCCCCGCCCCTCGGGCACCCGGAAGTGACGCGGGCGGACAAAGGCAGCGCGCGCCGCGAGGTGTCGTGCCTGGCCGGGCTCTGACCTAGGTGGTTGTGGGCTTCTGGGGTCTTCGCCGCCGCCGCCCTCGCTTTCTCTTCCCTCTTCTTTCGAGTCCCGGGAGCCCCGCCCCGGGGTGAGTAGCGCGAGGCGGAGTGGGGGCGGCGGCCGCCGGGGGAGGGGAGGCCCCGACCCCCAACGGCCTCAGCGCCCTGAGGCCCCGGCTTGTCACGTGACCCGGCCCGGGCCCCACGGGCGCGCTCCGGGAAGGTCTGCGGGCCGGACCGGGCCGCGGGTGGAGGGCAAAGGAGGAAAGCCAGGGCACCCAGAGCCCGGGCCGGGCCCTCCCCTGCGGTCCCCGGGCCGCAGCAGGTCCCTTTCCCTCTCTGAGCCTCAGTTTCCCCTGGGAGAACCCGGGATCGGGGAGCACCTGTTGGGAGGGTGGGTGCGGGATTCAGTGAAATGCCCAGTTTAGAGCCGGGCTCGGCAGTGCCCGGTACATAGCAGTTGGCATCATATTTCACCCTGGACCCAGCTACGGCCTCACACGTGCCCCTCAAAAGACAATTCGCCGCCGAGACCTTGGAGCCAAGGTCAGCCTGTTTGCGGAGAGGCTGTCATATCAGAAGGCCGGGCTTTGCTGCCCACACAGTGGGATCTCTCAGGCCCGTAGTTCCCTGGCTGTACAAGGGGGAGAGAAACGTGGTGTCCGCGGCCCCGGAGCCAGGGGGTGGGGCAGTGTTCAGATGGTGTGGATGTATAGTCAGTGCCCAGTGGGAGGAGGCCTGGGGAGGACTAGGGCCTTGACTGGGTGGGGAGCGATGTTTGGGTTCCCTCCTTATTCTGTTCCTGGTTTTCTGTGTTCTAAGCCACATCACTCCTTTCGTGGGAGTTTTTCTGTCTGTGGGAGGGTTGGGGGTACACGTGGAAGGCTTTGGTGAAGACCAGGAGCCGTAGAGTCACAAAGGTAGCATCTCCAGAATCTTTGCAGTCTCTCTGTGCTCGCAGAGACGGGGAGCACCCCCCCCCCCTGCAGACTCCGAGCTGTTTGAGGCTGCTGGATTGACCCACCACTCGCACAACAGTAATAATCCCGAGGTGTGTCCAACACTATGCGTATAGGGCACTGAAGTGCATCTTTCTCTATGACCTTCACAATTGACAGAGAGATTGACAAGAATTTCATTTGACAGAGATTTATAAACTGGAGATAGGGCGCCCAGCACTGTATGCGTCACTTGACACTTTAAAAAAAAAAAAGTATTGTTTTGAGGGAGAGAGAAACATTGATTGACTGCCTCCTGCACGTACCCCAAGATGGGAAGGAGCCTGCAACCCGAGTATGTGCCCTGACAGGAATCGAACGAGCCACCTTTTGGTGTACAGGATGACACTCCAACTGAGCCACACCAGCCAGGGCCACTTGACCCTTTTATACCCACATTTAATCTTCACAGCTTTCCCATAAAGTCAGTACTGTTGCTCCCATTTTATAGATGAAGAAACTTCTGTAACTGAGGTTGTGTCTTCTCTGAGCTTACACAGCGGATGAGAAGCAGAGCCAGGATTCAGACCTGATTCTCCTGATCCATCAGAGCCTTTGTTTTTAACAGTTTTCCCTAATTTTTTTTCTTCCTTTCTCCCTCCTTCCCTTTCTTTTTCATAGAGCATCCTGCCACTCTCATATGTCCACCTGCAGACACGCAGATCCAACGACAACAGGCCCTGTCCAGCAGGCTACGCGGAGGAGGAGGTAACTTCAGGCGGGCACTGGCCTGTTGCTCCCAGGCTTTTTCTTGGAGACAGGTGACTTAGAGGATGAGATGACTCTGACAGTGACAGTTCAGACACCATTCTCTTCCATGGGTCCCGGGAAAGGATAAGTAGTTGGGGCAGCTATCCAGGTGTTGCCCTCAACCCCCGATGCTCAGGTTCACTATGAGCAAAGGATTTGTCTTCCCCCCGAGTAGCCTAGAGTGCACACACAGCCACGTTGTGCCCGGCCCCATCCCTGTCCCTCCTCACTGTGATCTGGGCAGGGTGGAGGAGGACTTCCTGCTGTGTGACTGCTGACCCCGCTCCCTCCGACTGCTAGGGACCTCCTGCCCACACCTAGAAGCAAAGTGTAGATAGGGCCCCAGGAGTCACGGTTAACTAATGAATCAGCTCTTTGAACAAATGTCAAAGTTATACTTGCCATTTCCCGGCCTAGACATGCCTCCCCTGGCTTGTTCCTAGAATCTGCCTGTAAGTGGAATTCTTGTAAATTAGATTACTCAGGGGACCTTGACATTTAAAGGAATCATGTTATAAGGCTTTTGGTAAAGCAAAAGATTATATTGTCGGTAATGGTCTTCAGTGTTACCGGTTTTGAATGGTCGGATTTTTATCTGTGGCATTTTCTTAAAAGTGGAAACTGGCTGTAGCCACACAAAGCTCATTCTTTGATTCATTCAGTGAGCAATTAGCAAACACCCACCTTGTATCAGGTGCTGGACTAATAGTGTTCAAAGTAGTGACCCTGTCCCCAGGAAGCTTACATCCAGGGAGTGCAGGCAAGGCCGTCAGATAGGCAGAGAGAGTAGAGCCAGGTAAATGGCCTCAGGTTTATTCTGTCTATTTAATGGGAAGTGAATATTTTGCTGAGTACCTACGTGCTACGTGGGATGCCAGGGAACAGTGATACACCTCGGTGTCACCTCGGCTGCTGCCCTGGCCGCCGGTCGGAAAGGCTCCCCTCATCCTTTGAGTTTCCATGCACTGCGCAGTGAGAGTCCCCACTGTTGCTTGGTTTCATTTTTGCCCTGTCTCTCCTACTGGACTGCAAGCTCTCTGGCGGTCGGACTTGATGCTCACAGCAACTTGGGGTGAACGTTTGTTGCAAGGGCCTCAGGGTAGGGATGGGATCCCAGGTCCTTCCCGGGCATGCTGTGGCCCGGCAGGCTGAGTGGGGCTGCCGGACCATCCTCCCGCTCCTGAGCGGCAGTGGGCCTGCGCTCTGCTGCCCGGGCCCTGCCATTGCTTTGCGGTCGTCCGCCCCGCGTGGTAACACTCCTGTCAGTGTCTGCTTTTGCTCTGGCTCCTATAGTTCACACAGCTGCCAACAGTCTTCCAGAAACACGCGCCTCATGTCACTCCCTGCTTAACCCAGTGTAGCTCACGCTCACTGCTCGTTAGGGTGAAATCTCACCTACTAAACGTGACCCGGAGGACCTTAAGTTTCCGCTGCAAGGGCTCTGGGCACACTCCTTTCTTCCTGGAGCAGTCCTCTGGCCCCGTTTGTTTAGTGAACTCCTCCTCGTCCTTTGTGTCAGCCGATGTCACATCCCCAGGGCCTTCCGTGACCCCAGCGGAGTTAGGTCCCTCTAGGGTGTGCTCTTCTCGTACCCTATACTCAACAGTCCTTACAGTTGTCATTGAGTCTGTGTTCCTCTCTCCGTCCACAGCAGGTGCCTGGCAGAGTCCTGGCTGACTGGATGAAGGACTGGACCCCGCAGTGCGCTTGCTCTGTGCTGACAGTGAGAGGGAGGGGCCTGGGCACTGCTCAGCCTCAACGTCCACTGCAGCAGGCTTGGGCTCCTTGCTTTGCTGTTCTCTCTCCAGAGTGTAGATCACATTCTCTGTCCCCTGGGGCCAGAAGCCATTGAGCCAGGTGTCATGTCGAGTAAGGAAAGCACTAGAAGCCAGGACTCTGGGTCTCCTGCTCTTACATGACGATAGCTTTGTAAACTTACTTTAATGCAAGAGACAGAAGGTGCTGTCCTCCAAGGGGCAGCAACAGAGAGGGGACACTGGACTTTCCTCTGCATCAGGCAGGACTGTGTGACCAGTGAAGCATGTTGTGAGGCACAGCCCTTGACCCGGCTGATTCACTCCATTTTTTATTCAGAAGGCGTCAGTGCTGAGTTTGAGCAGAGACCTGGTTGGGGACAGCATGACGAGCGAGGTGATAGAAGACGAGAAACAATTCTATTCGAAGGCCAAGACGTACTGGAAAGAGGTCCCACCGACAGTGGATGGCATGCTCGGGGGGTATGGCCATATCTCCAGCATCGACATCAACAGCTCCCGGAAGTTCCTGCAGAGGTTTTTGAGGGTAGGCAGGTCTGGGGTGCTCTCCAGGAGAGGACGTGGCCGGCGCCACCTCTCACACGCACCGCTGCAGGTCTGCGGTTGTCAGTGTCTACCACCCGGGCCTTAAAGGGCAGGGGCAGCTCGTGGACTGGACTCTGCCTCGAGGTTACCAGACAGGAGCTGGCCATTATGCTGGGGGATTTCCTGGTGCCAGAATTGAGTGGTCTCCCTTTATTTTATTTTTTTGAAATCATCACCCAAGGATATTTTTCTTCAGACCGAGTGAGAGGGAGGGAGAGGGAGAGAGAGGCAGAGAGAAACACTGAGGTGAGAGACACCTGGATCGGTTGCTTCCCGGATGAGGCTGACCGGGGCCGGAACCACAACCATGGTACGTGCCCTTGACCAGAAGCGAACCTGAGACTCTGGTCTGCCGGCCGACACTCTAACTGCTGAGCCGAACCCCGCCAGGGTGAATAGTCTCCCTTTAAATTGTTCAGTTTCTCTGGCCACATTTGTGGGCATTTGGGCCAGGCTCCTAGTCACTCACCCCTGGTCCTGGCCCCTCCTTGTCTCTCCCTGGCGAGCACCAGATTGCCACTCGCCCCCACCAGTCTGTCGGGTGTCTCTCCTCCCACTTTCCATCCTGCCAGGTCTGTTGAAATCCCATGTTCACTGATAACCCGCTTCTGTTCTCCCGCCAACAGTGCTTTCTGTTCTCCATGTGTCATTTCATGGGTCTCAGGAGGGAGAGGTGAATGCCCCTGTTCAAGTTAGCACCTTGCAGTGGCACTTGGCTTTCATTTTAGAAATCTGTGACCCAGAAAAATCCTGGGTCGTGATCACACCCAGACGTCCCCCCTGGTGGGGACCTGTTTAGATTTGAGTAATCCCGGGGCTTGTGAGGAAGGGCCCCTTGGCAGTGACGGCTCCTCGGCTTTCTGACCCTCCTGAGCGCGCCTCCACCTCCCCTGCATTTCAGGAAGGCCCAAACAAGACGGGCACCTCCTGCGCCCTGGACTGCGGCGCCGGCATTGGGAGGATCACCAAGCGGCTGCTCCTGCCACTCTTCAGAGTGGTGGACATGGTGGACGTGACGGAGGACTTTCTGGTCAAAGCAAAGACTTACCTGGGTGAGGAGGGCAAGAGGGTGAGGAACTACTTCTGCTGTGGTCTCCAAGACTTCAGCCCAGAGCCCAGCTCCTACGATGTCATCTGGATCCAGTGGGTGATAGGTGAGCATCCTGCTTCCCATCCTCCTCCTGCATGGCCCCCACTCCTGAGACCGGAGGCCCTGAGGCCCTGGAGCCGGTGCTCCTGCAGCAGGTGGGCAGTGGGATTCCCCCAGCCCCCCTGTGCTCCCAGGGCCGTGGGGCACTCTATCTTTAAGGTGTACTTCCTATGTTTTGTTTAACTCGGTACCTGCTGCAACCCACTGGGGAGGCAGTTTTTTCTTAAAAATTTAAATGACCAATTAACTAAGAAAGAACACGGACAGTTTCTATAAAAGGGTTTTTTCAGTAAGAGGAAAGTTGAAGCTTTGGCTGTCCCTGCTGTTAGCAGTGAGGAGCCCAGCTGTCATCCCGTCCTGCACCTCCTCAGCCTAACAGCACGTTCAGGGTGCTCTTCCCAGGTTGCTGACCTGGTAGCAGGCCACTGTCCCAGTGGTCAGCCACCCTCTGAGGTGACTAGCTTTGCTCTGCTGGGGACATACTGGGTCTGGGTATTTGGTGGTTCCAAGCAGCCTGTCTGGACTTTTAATGCAGGGAAGGAACTTCTGGTACAGTCCCCGGGGCCCGGCCTAGGAAGGGGGTGGCATGTGCAGTTAGGTGTCAGGCGTGGCCTGGAAGTCACCGGTCAGGGTGAAATCCCAGCGGCATACTTCATGATTGCCCTCGGGTTGGTGACTTCTGAGCCAGTTTCCTCTCACGCAAAACGGGGTTCAGCAAACCCCCCCAGACAGTGGAGAACCAGCGCGGCCCTGTGTGCCAAGCGTAAAGTGCTCAGCTGAGCCATAAGCGGTGGCTGAAAGGAAAAGCCAGTGGGGTGTACGTGCCTGTGCCATCCCCAGTACCCATGCCCCTGCCTTCCCCAGGCCACCTGACCGATCAACACCTGGTTGAGTTCCTGCGGCGCTGCCAGCGGGGCCTGCGCCCCAACGGTGTCATTGTCATCAAAGACAACATGGCCCAGGAGGGCGTGATCCTGGACGACGTGGACAGCAGCGTGTGCCGGGACCTCGAGGTGGTCCACAGCATCATCCGCGGTGCGGGCCTCAGCCTCCTGGCGCAGGAGCGGCAGGAGAACCTCCCTGATGAGATCTACCACGTCTACAGCTTGGCCCTGAGATGAGCAGGGGCTGGCTGAAGAGGGACCGGCGTGGAGGTGGGCAAGCTGGCAGCCAGGTGCCATCCAGAGGCTCCGTGGCAGTGGTTCACAGGTGTTGGGCGAGGCCACTAAATATACCTGCCTGCCGTCCACTCACTATACAGGCTCTTTTTAAAGTGACAGGACCCAGCAGGGAGGAGTGCGGGTGAAAGGGCAGCCAGGCAGCCTGCTCTGCTGCCTAAAGGCAAGGCCTGGGCGCGCAGACCCGTGGGACACGCTGGCCCATCAGAAGCAGAGGTCCCTGCATCTCCACACCACCGGCCTGCCTGCCTTAAGAGGAAGGAAGGAACCTCTCGAACCTGGCTGAGGACACTCGGGGAGAGGAGAAGGCTGCTGGATTCGTAGCTGGTGGGAAGCTCACTTTCCAAGTCCTCCTTGGTGACGGGGCCCTGGTGTCCTTCATGTGACTCACATCAGCCCGCCGCCAGGGGAGAGGCCTGCAGTCTCCTCTTGGCTATGCCCATGGCTCCTCCTTGGCGGACACTTTCAGTCAAAAATAAAAAGGGTGAAATGAATCCCTGTGCTGTGACGGCCCCGCCAGTCTGGAGTGTTTGTTTATGGGACAAGTTGCTACTTGAGCCCTAATGTAGCGTCGGTGCCGACCACCTCTTCCTGGAGCCGTGGGGTCCTTCATCCTGAGCTGGGGGAAGTGTTATCAAAGGACCTTTAAGGCCAAGAGAAATCAGTTTAATCTGGAAGTATAAATATGCCATTTAGTTGCCTTAGCTTATTTCTGAGGCATTCACACAATTCACAATGACCAGCCTAACAGAAAAACAGCTTTGTGAGGGCTCAGCATTAGGTGGGACAGTCAGTTTCAGTCCTGGTAGCTTTTTCTCTCAGAGGAGACATTTTGGAAAGGCCTGTCCCTGGTCATGCATGATTGCTTTTTAGCAGAAGGCATGGTCCCCGAGACCCTGGGCTTGGCACAAAGAGTGGCCACCACAGCTGCGTGCCTTGGTGGGCGGGGCTGCAGGTGACCTGGCCCAGAGCTAGACGCTAGGAGGCAGCAGGCCCTTCCAGCCCACCAACAGCACTTTTGGAGTAAAGGGCCCTGACAGGGTCACCCCACAAAGACCCGCCCAACTTCCTTCTGGCTTCAGCTGTGTCCATGCAGCTCTCAAGAGGACCTCGACTTGGAGCTCCCCTGCTCCTGGGTCTGCCCACCACTCCCTCTGACTCGTCCCAAATCTAGCCCTGTCATTTTCTCCTATGTGGGCTGAGAACTTGGGGCTGTTGCCAGAGGGATGGGGCAGTCTCCCTGCAGGGCCCAGAAGCCGCCTCCCCCGATGATCACAGCGCCGGGCTCCGCCTGGCTTTCTTCGTACTAAGGAGAAGTCTCGTTTCCAACCTGCCTCCTGACAGGCAGGACCGGGGGTTTCCCACGAGGCGCCACAGGCACACAGTCCGCCGCCAGGCTGGCTGAGGGCCTGGCCCTCTGCCCTTCAGCCTGGAGCGGTCAGACGTCACCCTCGACGGGGCTGCTGTGCTCACTGAGGAGGTACCACTTGAGCCTGTCGGGCAGAGGCAGGGCTCTGACCTTCGCGTCCACGGGCCACGGCTGAAGGTAGAGCCGGATGTAAACGCGACACAGGTGCTTGAGGGGCGGGGGGTAGCTCTCCAGCTGCCTCAGGGAGCAGTGAAGGGCCTGGATCTTCTCTGCCAGGCTGCCCACGGGGTGGATGTCGAAGTTTTCGGGCAGCTGGAGTTTTTGGGAATTCGTCACCATGAGATCCAGGACGGTCTCGGCTTTGCGCAGGAGGTCCATGTGGCTCTCGTCTTCCGCGCAGCCCGGGTGCGAGCAGAGCCGGTCGAAGACGATGTGGAAGCCGGACCAGCAGGACGCGCCGTGGAGGGAGCAATTGTAGGCGGCTCCGGACTCCAGCAGGAAGCGCAGGAGCGGGAAGTGCACCTTAAAGCTCTTGAGGCAGATGTGCGTGAGGGACTCGTGGGCTGGGCACTCGCTGGGGTCAGCGCCGTGAGCCAGCAGCAGTTGTGTGACTTGGAAGCAGAAGCGGCTGATCATCTGGGCTTCCTCTTTGTCCCCTCCCACCGTCTCCCCAAGCAAGAAAATGATGCAGGTGAACACAGTGTCCCCGTCTTTGGTGGTCGCCTTGACGTCCGCCCCTAGAAGAGCCAGCAGGGAGCACAGAAGGTGGGAGAAGCCGTAAGCCCGGGAAGCAATGCTGTGTTTAGGGGCGGGCAGCGCCTGCAGGAGCTGAGGAGCCCTGCGGGGCCAGCCTGGGGAAGAGCCTCACCTCCTTCCAGCAGCAGCCGGATGTTCTCAGTGTTGTGGATCTGCACGCCGTCACTGCTGGCCAGAGCGTGCAGCAGAGCAGTCTTCCCTAAGGAGGGACAGGGAGTGAGGGCGGGAGGCCAGGAGCTGAGGGCGGGGCAACCCGGCGGTGGAGGGAGATGGGGACACTCAGATCAGAAAATGATATCCGGCCCTGGCAGGTTTGGCTCGATGGTTAGAGTGACAGGCCTCAGACTGAAAGGTGGCGGATTTGATTCCCAGTCAAGGGCACATACTTGTGTTGCAAGTTCGATCCCCAGCCCGTCCGGGTCGTGTGGGAGGTAACCAGTTGATGTGTCTCTCACATCCATGTTTCTCTCTCTCTCCTGCTCCCTTCCTCCCCTCCACTCTATCTAAAAATCAATGGAAAGAATATCCTCGGGTGAAGATTAATTAAAAAGAAAATTAATCCTGAAAAGGACTAACCTCTCAGCCAGGGCTGAGGGTGACCACTTTCTGGCCATCCTTTCCAGCCACACAAAGCAGAGCAGAAGAGAGGCAGGATTTTTCTGGACACGGATGCTCCCCGAGACCTGGCTGGGTGTCTCCCAACAGGAAGACACAGCTCCCTGAGAAGCTGAGCACACACACCCAGGTCCTCCTACCGGCAGCCATCACGCGGCTGGCGTGGGGCCAGCGACTGCACTCTGAAGCTTCTCCAAGTCAGCAAAATGCACCTGTGCGCACACCGGGCTGTGCTGTGCCAGCACGTGGGCTGTACCCAGCCTGCCCACCTATCGTCCTGGGTACCCCATTCCCCTCACAAGGCACCCGCACCCAGGGCCTACTTTCCCACGGGAGGCACCCACCATGCTTGTCGGCCGCATTGACATCGGCTCCAAGGTCCAAGAGGCGCTGCAGGCAGGGCAGGCGCTCCGGCTCCTCACTGGCCAGGTCCAGGGGGCTGCTCTCGTGGATCTGAGCCAAGAAAGCAGAGCCAGGTTGGCCTGGGAGGCTGCTCCTGCCCCTGCTGCCCCCCCTCCCAGGGCAGGCTGGACCTGGCTCTTACCCGGTCCCTCCGGTTAATGTCAGCCCCGTGGCGCACCAGCAGCTCTACCATGTCAGGCTGGTTTCGCAGGACAGCGATGTGCAGGGCTGTGTAGTAGGTGACTGGGTCTGAGGGCACAGGCGGCTCACGTCAGTCCTGCCTATTGGCACGTTCTTGCAGAATCCCAAGACCTGGCCTGTCAGCCCAGCCCCCGCACTCCCACCCGAGGAGGCCCGGGCTCCTGTCACCCCGAGTGCCAGCTGGCCTCGGAGCTACAGCACAGGCTCCGGAGTCAGCCCTAGGTTCGGCCCTGGGTGTTCTGGCGGGCATGTACTAAATCTGGTCGGGCTGCAGTTTCCTCTTCTGTAAAATGGGACCACACAACAGGGCGTCTCCTCTCGGATTATTGGGAGGACGCTCAGAGCGACAGCCCCTCAGTCCTGGCAACGGCAGCCCGTTCTCAAAGCTGGTTCTCCAAATGCCTGACTTCGGAAAAGCGCCCCCCACCTCAGCTCCTTGACTCTCCAGGAGCCCAGCAGCCTCTGAGCCTGTCCTCGGACGGGAGAGGAGACATGCCTGGCCATACCCCACACCCGATGTCAGCACAAAGCCCCATTTGGTCATGTGGGCCCTGCACGTCTCCTGGCTGACCCGCCCGCTCTGGGGAAAGCCAGCGAGGAAAGGAAAACACTCCATCACCACCACCCACCCCAGCACCTACAAGCTAGAAGCCGACCCAGTCCCGCTGTGACTTAGGCCCAGTGTGGCCTGTCTTCCCCTCTTCCTATGGCATCAACGAAAACGCAAGATGGCTGAGAATAAGTGGCAGAAAATTACCTTCCCTTAGCTCTGGGCACAGTGCCAGCAGCTGCATTTTTACCTTAATGGAAGCAAGGAATTATCTGGGAGCTGGGAAGGTTTGCTAAATCAATCACATGGTGCAAGCAACCTGCTCCTGGACCAGAGGTGCTAAGGGCCATTTGAAGGCTGCAGGAGGATGGGAGGCCACCCAGGGTGGGTTTCCTTAGTCATGGCCCATGAAATAAACGAGGCTAGAAGCTTCTAGGAGAACAGTCAGGCAGAGCCCAAGGCCTGGCTCCCCGCCCAGCTCAGGGCCGCACTAAAACCACCTACCCACTCCAGCCCCATGGGCTCCCTCTGACCTTCAAAGTTGAGGTTGGCCCCGTTCTGCAGGAGAACATCGGCTGCCTGGGTCAGCCCCAGCTCGGCCATCTTCAGCAGGGCATTGCTCACGCCTTCCTGGTAAAATGGAGAGTGGGCCTTTCTCTCCAGAAGCTCAGTAAGAACGAGGATTCGGCTCTCCTCACTGGGGACATAACTGGGCCTAGGGCAGGAGAGAGGTGGCCAGTTGAGGGTGGGAACAGCTGAGACCAACTGGCCTGGGCACCCTGTGGGTGGGTGTGGCCTTTAGCCTGCTGCTGTCATCACCCCCCTCGGCAGGGCCCTGGTTCTGTGGGCAGGGAGGGGGTCAAGCCAGATCTTTTAACTGGAGCTGACTCCTCGGGTTTACGAGAAAGGACAAGGGATATCTCCGGCCTCCTTCAAAGTTGCAGAGAATCTGGTCCCCGACTTGGGTACCTCACGTACCTGGGCTGTTGGAACCAAGGGGAACCCCTGTGGCCAGGAGCAAGGGCCAGACACTGACCCTCCTTCCTCAGATACTGTCCCTGAGCTGCAGAGGATCCCAGCCCAGCCCAAGGGACCCCCCACAGCCAGGGCAATTGGCTGCCCTCTTCCCTGCTCACACTCATGGGGACGATCAGTGTCCCAGTCTTCCAAACGCTGGGTGTACACAAGCCCTTCACACCCCAGACCCAATCCCGCCACCTCCCCCAGCAGCACTGACCACGAAGAACCGCCATGACCTCCCCAGAAGTTCAGGCCCGGGGACAGTCCTTGCACGAAGCTCCTTCACAGGCCGTCATCGCCACCTCTTGGTGAGGCTTCCCTTCCCAAGTACCCCCCACTCCTGGCTCCCCCTTAGTCTCATCCATCTGCACCCCTTCAATTGTTGGGATCAAGGTTCAATCTTGACTGCTTGGGCAGGATTCGGACTCATCCCCCAGCCTTAGAGTGCCCAGCGCCCCGTGGGTGCCAGGCAAACGTTCTGGAGCTATAAAAGGCCACGCAGCCTCCCTTTGCTGCCCAGCCCCCACCCGCCCCAGCACAGCCTGGAGTTCAGGAAACACCCTGCACTGCATTTTCAGAACAAGTCTCAAAGTGAACAGAACAGCGCTGAGGAAGCCTGCTGCTACCACCAATGTCCGGGGAGAGAGGCACCACCACCACAGAGATCCCCCAAACACACACCCGACCCCCTTCCCTCTGAAATACTATATACTTTTACATGACTGTCAGTCCCTCTCCTCTGGCGCATAAGACATACTCCTGAGTGACTCGCTTTCCGGCGCCTTCCCCACGGGTCACGAAGAACCTGCCCGTCTACCTAAAATGCTAACTCAGCTAGAAAAAGTTCATTTTCGCACTGCCCTGGAGTAAAAATTGAGGCCTTCAGAGATACCACCCAGCTCCTTTGCAACCCCAGGTGGAGGGCAGCGGACCGGGCAGAGGGGGCACTGAGGCCCCGCGACCCCGCCCCCCAGCCCTCCCTGCGCTGGCCCGGGCAGCCGGCACCCTGCACCCTGCACCCTGCACGGGGCAGGAGGGGCCCAGCGCGGGCCGCGCAACTCCGGCCTCCGCCTGTGTCCTCTGACACCCCCCTCTCCCCGCCCGTTCGTGGTGACAAAGCAGCAGCGCCGGGTCGGAGCGGCCCCGGCCGGCGGGAAGGCACGAGTTACCCATCCAGGGGCTCCTGCCGCTCGGGGTCCTGGATCCCCAGGGAGCCGAGAATCGCATCCACCAGCGGCTGGTACTCGAAGATGATCCTCCGGAAGCCGTGCAGGAAGGGCATTGCGGCGGCCGCACCTTCCGCCGAGGCCGGGACGCGACCGGGACGACGAGAGGCCGCAGGCCTGGCCTGACCTGTGCGGGCCCAGCCCCTGCGCCCGCCGGCTCCGCCGCCGCACCCGCTGCTCCGCGCTGGAAGTGACTGTCTCCCTGCCTTCCGGCCCGCGTCCGCCCCGGAACCGAGGGCGGCGACAGCGCCCCCTGCGGGCTCGGAGGACCGCGGCGCGCACCGCAGCGCGAGCCGGCGGGGCCTGGCGCACACACCCGGGGAGTGAAGGGTGCGGACCCGCCGCCAAGTCCGATCCCAGCCGGAGGCGCGCCCGCCCGTTCCCGCCCCGGCCCGGCCTCGCTCCGCCCTGCGATCCCGCCCGCGGCCGCTGGGCGCCGTCCGAGCTCCGCCCATTGCACGGCCCCGCCAAGGCAGTGACGGGGCCTGCCGCCCGCAAGCCTAGGACCACTATTCCGGGGTTTAGGCACCTTCCTTTGGGCCACGTATTTGAACCTTCCCAACCTCGAGCCCCACGGGGCTCTGGTGTCCTCACGATTCTTGAAAGTCCATTATGAAGAGGTGTGTGCGATCCCAGCCTTGGCCTCCTCCTCCGCCCGCCCCACCTCGAAGGCTTGGGGGTCTCGCCCACCTGGCACCTACCTGCCGGAGGCAAGAGGTGTCGAGGGGACGAGAATCACTTTACAGTCACATTTAAAGGCAATCCGATGTGTCCTACGATTAAACATTAAAGATGGGTAGAACGAGCCTCCTCCAACAGGAGCAAAACAGAGCTCACAAGAAAACCCCATCCAAAGCATGCCCAGGTCCAACTCTGGGGACCGAGTGGGGTCAAGTATGCAGCAGGGGTTGGATAATTGCTCACTGTTATTAAGTTTACAAGGTTGTTGTGCAGATCAAATGACAAGCTATTAAAACCCTCATGGGGCACTCAAAACGCCCCATGTTCCTCCCGTTCCATTGCCTAGCAGGGCAAGAAGGAGGGCTGGGGTCCCTGGTTCCTCTCGCACTTCTGCCTTGGTTCTTACTCCAGAAAAGTAGGATCTTCTCCTTGACTGAATCTGGGAAATTTTGCTCACACAGAAATGGAGGTTTCCAGCTTGTCTGGTAAAGTCAGACTATTGGGCACCTAGGCCCAAATTCCCATCTGGTAAAAATGAGCATCACGATGGGGCACTTGCTCTGCGTGCCTTCGTCTCCGCAGCCGCTACCCTGGGCGTTGGGATTGTCTGCCCCTGTTTTCAGATATTCTGCCCCTCCATTGATCCCAAGATTCTGCATGGTGCAGCAGCCCACAGGTGACCCAGGGACTGCACCATTCACTTGATCCAGAGTGACTTGCTCCATAGCACTGGCCAGGGGACCGTAGCACCTGGAGGGGCCTGATTTGCCCAACAGCACACAGTGTATAGGTGGAGGAGCCCCATCTAGAATGGGGTCCAGGGCAGAGCTGGGGGTACAGCCTGATCTGAAGCCCACTTCTTCCCTGGCTCCTTTAGTTTCCTAAGGTTATCAAAACAAAGTACCAAAATCTAGGCAGCTCAAAACAACAGAAATGTGTCCTCTCCCAGTTCTGGGGCCAGAAGTCTGAAATCAAGGTGTCGTCAGGGACATGCTCCCTCCAGAATCTAGAGAAGGTTCCTCTCTCACCCCTTTTGCTCCCCGGCAGCCCCAAGCATTACTGGGTTGGTGACAGCATCACTCGAATCCCCGCCTACCTGTCTCTTCACATGGCCCTCTGCCCTGTGTCTCTATCCAAATATCCTGCTTCTCTCTCTCTCTCTCTTTTTTAATCCTCACCCGAGGATATTTTTTTTGTTTTGTTTTTTGCATTTATCTTCAGATAGAGCGGGAGAGGGAGAGGGTGGAAGAGAGAGAGAAATATCGATGTGAGAGAGACACATCGACTGGCTGCCACCCACACGACCCCAACCGGAGTGGGGACAAACTGCAACCCAGGTACGTGCCCTTAGCTGGAACCGAACCCAGGACTCTCCGGCCCGCAGGCTGATGCTCTAACCGCTGAGCCAAACTGGCCAGGGCTCCTGCTCCTGTCTAAATGACACCAGTCTTTGGATTCAGGGCCCACTCTAATCCAGTGTGACCTCTTCTTAATTTGACTACATTTGCAAAACCCCTTTTTCCAAATAAGGTCCCAGTCCCAGATCCCAGGGGCTAGAGCTGAAACATATCTCTTTAGAGGACACAATGAAAGCCATCGTAATGCATGATGCCAGGCGTGACCCTTGTGGTCTCTGGGCCTCGGTTTCTTCACCTGTAAGCTGAAGGCCTTCAGCTCTGCCAGTCTCTGCCGACAAGAAAACTGTGATTGTCTTGCAACCGGTACAGTAACCACCTGAGTTCACTTGTATTTACGGGGCCCCCTCAGTGTGCCAGGCACTGGGCTGAATGCTTGACACGCTAATCTCCATGGATCCCGTTAAGTAAGTGATGTTTTCATGCCATTTTACAAGCAAGGGAACTGAGGCTCAGAGAGGTTTGGGTGCTTGTCCAGTGTTACACAGCCAGGTCTGGCCTCTGGGGGCCGAGTGTCCTGGAGCTCCTCCGGCTCTGGGTCCGAGAGGGTCTGGACATGCAGGAGGGAGGAGCTGACCCCTGCTCTGTCACAGCCCTTGGGCACCAGCTTTGGAGCCAGGCCCTGCCGCCTGCCTGTCGCCCAGGCTCCTATCTTTAGAAAGCTCTGTGCCCCCTGACCTCCCTCCTGTCAGCAAGGGCAGCCTTGCTTCCTCCATCTGCCTCCCATTAACCCTCTGTCACTCCAAGCCTCCGATTTCGGCTCTGAACCTTCTCTGTTGTTGTTGTTTTTGCCACTGTCCCTCACTGCCCTGCCTGCCTTGCCACTTCCTGCTGCTCAACTCCAGGGTTCCTCAGCAGGCTGGGGGCCCGGGCCAAGCACCCAGTGCTCAGACCCTGGCACCATCTCTCTCCTGTTTTCTACTCTCCAGGGAGCTTGGGGTCACTCTGTCTATCCAATGTACAGTACTTTAATATATAAAGTACTGTTAAAAACCAACAAGAAGAAGCAAAAGTACTAAGAGAAAAATGGGCAAAGGACATGCATAGGCAAGTCACAAAGGATGAAAAACTGTCAACAGACATAAGGAGAGAAGTTTAGCCTCTAGCTGTCCAATGTCAACAGTGACAACAGCTGACACACGGGACTTACCACCTGCTAGACTCTGCCCGACGGCAGCTCCACAAAGCAAGTTACAGAACAGCAGGTCCCATGTGATCCCATTTAGGAAAAAGTGCAGTGCGTGTGCGTGCGTGTACGTGTGTGTGTGGCCAGCGATAATTCTCGTGGCCCCCACGCTGAGATGTTAACAGTGGTTGTTTCTGGGTGCTGGGATCCAGGGAACTTTGATCTTTGTGTTTCTATGTATTTTCTACCTTTTATCCGATGAGTGTATCTTCGTACATGAGACTTAAAAGGTAAATCAGCCAGAGGCAGGGAATCAGGTGCTCCACGCTCCTCTGTGCCGAGAGTGGAAGGTAAGGCCCTGGACACCTGGGCCAGGCCCCAGTCTGTCCACAGAGCCTTTTCTCCTGCCAACCCCATCTAGTGACATCCTTCCTAGCACACAGGCCACCTTCCCCAAGGCTGTCCTCAATCCCCCTGGCCTGGGCCCTCCCTCCCCAGTTCTCCTGAGAACACAGGGCCCAGCCTGACTGATAACTTGATAACAACAGCAGTCTTTGGTCGACTGTGTCCTGAGTCCCGTGAATTAGATTAGAAGCTCAACATGCATGGTGTCACCCTCCTCCCCCCCGTAAGGAAGTAATAGCAAGAGTCCCAGTCGGGAGATTGAGGCTCAGAGAGGTAACTGACCTACTCAAGGTTAGGGAGCCGGTGAGGGGCCCAGCCAGGACCCAGACCCAGGGCGCTTTCAACCTCTCCCTGCAGCCCCAGCTCCGGCACCTACCACCTGCCCGGCCCCTGCCCTCCGCGCTCGCTCCCCCACCCGCACACCCTTGCTCACACATTCACTCGCTCTCACGCTGTCTCACACACTCACAGGTCCTCATACACACACATACGCACACAACAGACTCACACATTCTCAAACATACCCTCACAAACATACATACTCTCACACCGGTCGTCTCACACTCACTCTTACACACTCACACATACTTGTGCACACCTATACTCACACTCATAAGACATACACTCACACACACACGCTCAGGGCTGGTGGCTCCTGGGAGGGTGGTGTCCCTGGCCCCTCTGTCCAGGCGGGGCTGTCAGCAGCCAGGTCTGTCCTTTATAAGACCCTCAAGGGAGAAGTGGGGTGAAAAGACCCCTCTACTTTCTCCTTTTGTGATTTGGCAGAGTTTCCATGAAGAGAGGCGTTTGGAAAGGGCACCAATCGGCCACAGGAGGTCCTTCCTCTTCATGGCGGACGGTGCAGCTCCGGCCCCCACAGGTCCCGGGGCACAAGCGCAGAGACGCAGGGCTGGCGTCTTCCTCAGTGTGGTCCCGGAGCCTTTGCCCCGGCTTCCTCCTGTCTACTGCTCCTCGGGCCCAGCTCCCTTTCCTCTCCTTTCCCTCCCCCCCCCTCACCCTGACCCCGCCCTGACCTCCTACCCTCGTGACCCCAGCCTGTCACCGAGCAGTAGACCCAGCCTGCTGGGCCCTGTTTGGCCACAGTCCCCACGCTGAAGGGCAGGACCCCGACGCCTCATTGCCAGGGGCCCAGCCCTCTGCGGGCTCAGGGGGGACCTGAGGGACCAGGAGGTGGGGGCAGGGGCAGCAGGACATGGGCTGGGCCGGGGAACGGCTCTTCTCCTCCCTCATTCCGTCTGCTCTCCTAAGAAGCACCAGGACCATTCAGGAACCCTGACTCTTAGGGAAGGGAAGACAAGCCCCAGGGACCTCTGTGCTCCCACTGGCCTGCCCCACTCCCCCACCATCTGCCCCCTCCAGAAAATCTGCCCCTGCTGGCCAGAGCCCCCTGCTCCAAGGGCAGCCTCCTCCCCGACCCCCCCCCCCCCACACACACACACACGCGGGCACTGCCAGC